CTCTCTGGGCTGGGTCTCTGCACGATTCAGAAAGATGACTAACTCTGCAGTCAGACAGTCAGTTGAAGGCAAGCAGTGAGTCAGCCTGTGACCCCCAGCCTGCTGCTACAACACCGCCTGACCCCCAGAGTCATCATCCCCTCTCTGAGCACGTCACCCTGTCCTTGTTCTCAAACACACACACAATTATACAATAACCAGAAAAACAACCACACACAAAAGCCACTGAGTCGTGACTGAGGGGGCCGCAGTATTTTCTTCATGCGTGCTGACTCTAGTCTGAAAGGCACACTGGCAGGAGAGTGGAAAAGGCAGATGTGAGTGTATGTTGGAGACTGTGCAGGTGCGATTCCTTTAAAGGAGAAGGAAGATCTGCTTGGGTATGAAGAGGCTTTTCCCCTCACCGCTAAGAGGGAAGTGGGAGGACTTAAGACGGATGACTGTGAAAAGCTAATGTGAAATTAAAAAGCATCAAGATGATACAGGAGCTGCTCATGATAATATTTAGTTCTCAGACTCCATTTGGCACTTGTTAGAAAACAAAGCTTGAAGGGAGGCACATTTCATCAAAATTACCCTCAACTGTACAACACAAGTAAATAACCATTTTAAAGCTGAATAATTTACAGAGTAAACTCATCCAACCACCAACTTTTTATTGTTAAGGTTTATCTCCTAATTTTTGGATTGTTTGGAATTGAATTTAAAGGGTCACTTCACCCATTTCAACATTAATCTTTATTGAAAGTGGGTCATTTATGTAGTCGAAATGTAAAAGAAATTTTGAATTTGATGCCCTCTTGACCGAGAAAAGACAGAAAATAACTTTAGTGCGCATTTGTATGCAAGACAACAACTCCCACAATGCACCACATTGCACAGCTCCGCAAGCCACTCCCACTAATCCAGAACAGCGCAAACATAAGAGAAATCACTTTTCCGTCTACAAGGTTAGCTGCCACCAGAGTTAGAAATTCATTTCACACAAAATTTCTAGTTAGTTGGCTGTGGCGAGCAGGACGAGGGCGAGGGATGTGATAGGACAGCGCGAGGCCGGTGGCGCGAGTGATAATGAACGACACCTGTGAGACGCACCGGACCGGTGTCTCTCGCGTCTCTCACCGAGGAGCGGACGCATAAAACGAGGAGCGACGACAGGGCAGATCGAGAGAGGAACAGGCCTGATTTTATGTTGTGTTTTGTTTCTGTTGTGTGTGGCCAGCAGTGAGGGGCTGCTCGCTTATATTTTTGTTTCGTATTTGTTTATTTTACTATTAAAATGTTTAAATGTTTGCCGGTTCCCGCCTCATTCTTCCCACAACAACGAACCCCGTTACATTGGCAAACTCATTAGTGAATTACTCCTCGTTTGTATTTCTTTCTATATGGTGAATTATTGCATGATGATGATAAAGTTACCTGGATGTTCAGTCAGAACATATGCGGTGCGAAACTTGGATGGATCACAACACAAACGTCCGTGTGCTCGTCTGATTCAGAGATTTCGTCCAGGAGATATTGCGATCGTTGAAATTCTCTGCAGCAGACGGACTCTATCTGTGTCCGTAGCGCACAGCGAGAGCACGACATGTAGGCACCAGCAGTCCGCCCAGCTCGAGCCAGTCCGGGCTTCTCGTCTGCGCCGGGCTGGTCTCCTGCGGCGGCCGCTGCCGCAGCCGACGCCGCCGCCTCTTGTTCCTCCATCAGCCTCAGCTGCTCTTCGCTATATTGTGGCTCGTATAAATAGCCACGAACATCGGTTTCGAGCAAAAGATTTTCAAAATCCTCGTCTTCCATATCGTGTGTCGTAAATTCAGGCATTATGGTAAATCTAACTCCTTGAGCGCTTGTTAGCTTAGCTTGCTGTCTTCCAAGCAAGATGGCGGATTAATAGTTTAGTTTCTTCAGGTTTAGTCCCACCCACTGATCTGTAATAGGCCGGTGGGGTGAGTGGGTCCCACGCCCTTGAATAATAATGAGCTAAAGGCTGTAGTTTTCTTAATATGCAATGAAATTTATCTTCCGTCCTATCGTGACGCAAAATGACGATATTTACGTCACGATAGGACGGAAGTAAAACACTTAAATCCTTTTTTCTCCCATCTCAGAAAAAAAACAAGCAAAATTCCACCATCATTATAATATATGACTGGGTTTCTAACAATACAAACCTTAATGCAAATGGGTGAAGTGACCCTTTAAATATTTTCTGTTCTCTTTTTGGGTCCAGCAAGACTAATTCATTCACTAACACTGATTGACCTGTTCTCTATAGTGCTGTGTAATTGGTTGGATCCTAATTGGTGGGTGATATATTATCTTATCTACTTTATTGGCTGAATCTTATGATTGTATTTTTTTTTTAAATAGTTGCTCTTCAACTTGCTCTCAAACTTTCTTAAAGAGGTCATGAAATGAAAATTGCGACTTCTCTTCCCTATTGTAACATACTGTATATTCAAGTGAAATGACTTCTAGAATGAGAAAAAAAAATGTAAGCAGAGACTTGATTTTGTCTACCAGGAATTCATTGATTGGTTGGAACTCGTCTAGACATTGGACAACCATATTGTCCAGACCTTGAACCGGTCTACACATCAGAATCGTCTTAGCCAGGGGGAGGGTTAATGCTTATTATTAACAATTTCGAGAGCACACATTTAAAAAAATAAATAATAATAATGACATTATATGACAAATCCCATATTATTTCCATATATTGCAATAAGAGTTTTTGATTTCATAGAGACTTTATCCCTGATGAAAAGCCTGAGTGCCGAAACAGTTTTGACTTAAATTAATACTCCCTTCAACAAGTGTTGCTGAATTTACCTGTTCGTTGATGCATCTTTCTTACTGAAGTAGCAACAAACTCACTATCTAAAACATTTATTTTCCCTGAAATCCAACGGCAACATTTGTCATCTCATAAGTGGTGATTTAGTTTTACATGGCCATTTTCCAAACTACTTACAAATTACTGACCCTGTGAATGAAACAGGACATGTTTTCTACTGTACTATACTATACATACTCTAGTAAGTCTACAATATATAAAATTATCTTTATTATGATTGGCTAATCTAATCACACAAAAGCGCTGATTACACCGCCATTCAAAAGGGAGGGTCGAGTTGCACAATTACTTTTAAAATTGGGTGATCATGTTTTAATATACACATAGTTGTGTCCTCAACACCACGACTGCAGCTTACATCATGTCCTAACCAGCTGAACAACCAGCAGAAACAATGTTCTGTACATGCTAAAATGTTTATATGGAATGTTTAATATGGAATATTATACCATATGTAATGGTTATCTGTTTGTTCATGTTGACCTGAATGAGGATGCTCCTGTACCAGCTGATATGTACTTCCACTGCAGTCTGAGATGATCTGGGGTGCACTGAGATGCACTTTACATACTGAGAGAGAGAGATGGGACAGGAAGGAGATAATGAGGAATGGCCGCAGTGGTCATATGAGAGCAGGAGATTGCTGGGTATGAGAAAAGGAGCAGGAAGTGAAGGATATAGCAGTCAGCAAGGTCAGAGTTTCGTGTGTGTAAGTAATGCATATGCTTGTATGAGAGAGTGAATGAACGAGTGCAACGCTGGTCATGTGAGCATGCCGGAGAGAGCGAACGAGTTTCATTCATGTGCCTGTATCCTTTCCTCAGAACAGAGTGTTCCAGCGGTCCTGCGGGACAGAGCAGCGCACCATGTGACTCCTCTGCGCTGCTCTTCGGCTATGGAGCCTGACAGCTAACCTCCACCACAAACACACACACTGCGCAGACATCCAAAGCATTTTTATCAACAGGTCTGCTTGCAATCAGTGCTAATTTACCGCAGACCAGCGATCTGGAAAACAAAACTGCATCAAATTAAATACACGGAAATAAAACTTCATGCTATTTAGTTCCATGACATTCCAGCATGTTGCGTTTTGCTTGATTTTGCTGAAGTAACCCCAGAACAATCAAACTTTGGCAGGCGCATTAAACAGGCTGTGGTCAGTGATGAGGGGAATGTTTAGACAATGTGCTTCGAGAGGGGGGCGATGTCAGAAGCTGGCCCTTTTCTTTGTGATCCATTCATTAGTGGAGTAAACAGGATATGATGTCACCCTTTTAGTTACCCTCGCCTCACACACAGCCCTTTTTTATTTTTAAGAAGTCACAGCTCGGAAGACTGGTGGGGGGGGCAAAACTTTTACTGCGACACGGGTGCTCTAGAGGGGGAGAGAGAGAGAGAGAGATGATGAGACTGAGAGAGACAGCAGCAAAATGGAAAAGAAAAAGTACAACAGGACACAGACAGAGGGGGGAAAGACAGTAAAAGCTATTATGGAAACAGAAAGTGGCAGAGACAAAGTGGGAAAAGGAGAGGAAAAGAGGAGGGTGATTGGGGTCATCCTGGTCGCCAGCCAAGACAAACAGAATGAAGCCAGTTTCCCAGCCCAGGGCTACACCGAACTCTCCCATGCACTTCACACACACAATTGCTAATAAACACTAACCTCTCCATCCTCAAGCCCAGCCCAGGCTGCACACACTGGAGGGAATTTCAAATCTGACTCAACGTGGCTACAGCACATGACTACACAAACAATTAAAAGGGTTCCCACAGTTTTTGACTAGTTAATTTTTGACCACTGACCTTTAAAGTGAAAAAAAAAAAAAAAAAACTGTTGTGATGAATTTCCAAATAAATGTTAGATAATGGCCTTTTGAATTCAGTGTTTTTAAATTTACCTAAAACAAAAAACTATTAAAAACCCTTACATTAATTATAACAAAGATAAAATATTAAATGAAAATGTAAGCTTAAAAATCTTAAAGGGGCCATGACATGATTTTTTTTTATTATTTTACTTTATTGCTTGAGGTTCACTTCTAATGTTAATAAAGTTTTTTGTACACAAAAAACAAATAAACATATATAAATATATGTGTGTGTGTGTGTGTGTGTGTGTGTGTGTGTGTGTGTGTGTGTGTGTGTGTGTGTGTGTGTGTGTGTGTGTGTGTGTACTTGTATTTCTTACTTTATGGGGCCCAGTGACCAGGAGCACACCAACGGTATGGGGTCCAACAACCTTGTGGGGCCCGAAATGGTGGGCCCCACACCGATTTCAATGTAAACTGCCTCAGAAGCCTCTGCTGATATGCCTCATGCTTTTTTTTCACTTTCCCCACAAGGTGATAAAAACTGGTTATGAGTGTGTATGTGTGTATGCTCTCTATCGCCCCTGTAGCTGGGAACGTGGTATTGCAGCAGATACACACTACCGGAAGTGTGTGTGGCTTTAGCCAATGAGAAAGGCCCACGGAGAGGGAGGGAGGAGCCGTGTAGTTTTATTGGATGCGCCCACGCTACACGCACATTGTTACTGGGTTTTAATCTTCAATTCCTCGTGTTTTGACTCTGTTTCAACTGAAGAAACACTTCATGTAGGCTAAGCAACAGGATTCTGTAATCCTATAGTATTTAACTATACATCTGATATAGTTTAATGTGTATTTCTAGTCGTGTGAACAGAATGATGCTTAATGAAGTAAGGTTTTAAACAGATGGCTAACATTAGCTGCTAAAAGTTCACGGAGACGGCATTTTAAACCGGAAGTTCCACGCGCTTCGACTCTGAACACACGGAAAACACTCTTCATGTGAGAAACCGGTAGGTGAATTTATTTGACTTTTTACATGATATTCGTTTCAATTCTTACTCAATTTCATAGCGCACCTAAATGATAGTTAATGATGTAGGATTTTATTCAGATAGATAGCTGATAATGTTATGAGCTGGTGATGCTATTTATAGATCGATAGCTGATCATGGCGGCTGCGTAAGAAGCATTTTATTGCATTAACGTTACATGATAATTTGACTCCGTTGTCTTTATAGTTTTGCAAAAATCCATTAATGTATTGGTTTGCCAACTATTTCACAGACTTTTTTTAGCTCATGTTTTAATTTATCAGACATGATTGCAGATCACGTGCAGCTGACAGACTATCTGTTTATTGATCTATTTTACAGTATTTACAAAATGGCGGAATAGATCTAACTATCATTTCTGTGTTGTTGTCTGACCTGTGCAAGGTAGGCCTACATTTAGATCTTAAACCACTGAATATTAACGTTACATTACTTGAAATTGTTAGATTTTTTTTTTAAAGCTAATTTCCCCATGCTAATTTTATTTATTTTTATTGTGTATGTGTAACTATTTTCAGAGCCATAATGTTGAAAAGAAAGACAAGGATACGGCCTGTTGATGATGCCAGGACACACATTCTGTCATTGAGGGACAAGCCTGGGTTTATGGAACGATTTATCGATAGTAACAAAGGTATGGGACAGCATATTACACATTCATTTCTTAGTACTGATCGTTTGCATACGCTTACATGATAATCCATGTCTTTGTAGTTGGAAAATTATAAATTAGCATTGGTTTTGTAAAAGTGTCCACATTGTGTGTTAATAATAGAGCCAGGCCGATATTAGGCATTTTCCTAACTATTGGTATCGGTATTTATAATGGCCGATAAATTAATATTTTAAATGCGGGATGCGGTTATTCATGTCAGGGTGGCGCTGCCAATAAAACCTAAAAGCTGTCACAAAGAACTGGCAAAAGTAATGATTATGAATACATCAAATATAGCAAGGAGACATTTTAATTGTTTATTAATAAACAAGTGTTTTCAGTCAGTGTCGCTGCAAAGATGAACTTACGACGCTGACTCGCGATCTTCAGTGAACACGCCAGAGAGAAATGCACATTTCATACGGATTACATTTAGCAGAGATCAGTCTGTCTTTCTTTTTGAATTTTTCTGTTTAAAAGTAGACATTTCAATATAGATATATTTCTCAGGGGCCGTATTCACAAAGAATTTTAAGGCTAAAAGTAGCTCCTAACTGGCGAATTTAGGAGCAACTCTTAAAAATAATGTCACTCCTAACTTAAGGACTCCTAATTTTTTTCACTAAGAGTAATTCACGAAGCATTTTAGCCCTATAAGTAGCACCTAAGTCTGGGACAGCTTAAAAGAAGTCGAGAGGACTCCTAACTCACTAAGACCTATTCACAAAGGATTGTAGCGCATACCACCGCCTCTCGCAGTCGTCCGGGCTCCGCGACACAAGCGGGAATGCTGCATTGATCTGCAAACAAATCCTCTCCCATTCTCACGCTTAGTTTTGCTTGATATCCCAGTGCCGAATTTCACTTTGATTATGTTTTTTTTTTTTTTTTTTTTTAAGCACCAACTCGGCCAGCAGCAGTAACTGATCCTGCGTCCAGTTGGGCTTTCTTTTTTACGTTTTGGCGACTTCATAATCCACTGTCATTCAACTATTACATTACTTCAATAAGAGCAACATTTCCTTGCTTTAAGTAGTCTATTTAGGCTAATAGGATGTCAATTAACCAAGCAAGTGTTAATGCAAGTGTTGTTTTTCATTATTAGGCAAGTGGCGGTTTTCATTGGGGTATTAGACTACCTTAATTTAATTTAATTCACGACTTTTCTCTCTCTCTCTGCCTTTTTAGAATCACACTTAACTGGAGCCTGCACAAACATGTCATTATATATGCATTTCGATGACATTACTATTATTAATTTGGTGTAGGACACAGACATATTTAGATGTCGTAATTCCATGATTTGTTGCGTCTGTGTTATGCTCCGCATGATGGCCCTGTCATCTAACAACCAATCACCGTGATCACTGCGAGGAAGCTTGTGCATGAGAACTGACGTCATCCATAGCAACGAAGACTCACTCTTAGTTTAGGAGTTGTCATTTTCCTTACTAAGAGTAGGTCTGAAAGGTGCTGTGATTCTGTGATTGTTTTTTCCTTTAAGAGAAAACTCCTAGCTTAAATATTTTAGTGCGATTTAGGAGTACTCCTAGTGGTAAGATAAAATTCTTTGTGAATACGGCCCCTGGTCTATATGCTGAGTTTCTGTTCATTTATGAGACGAGCTCCAGTTCACCCGCCGGCGCCTCCATGTTGATTATCTATTGTTCGCTATATTTACTTCTTATTTATTAAAGGAGAACTCCGGTGCAAAATGAACCTTTGGTCTAATAAAACATTGGTACCTAGTCAACCGTTCTCTGAGATTTGTCTTCATGATAATCGGATGTAAAGAGTTTTATCTCTAAAAACTGTTTAGCGTATAACGCTTGTAATGGGGGCATATAATACACTTCGTGTATACAGACCATACAGACAGGAGCCATCTTTGGAAAACAGTCTCGACTAATCAAACCACGAACGACGTGCTAAGTGAGCTGAACTGTATGAAGTTCAGTGAACTTCTGAACTGTATGAATGGCGTTCGTGGTTTGATTAGTCGAGACTGTTTTCCAAAGATGGCTCCTGTCTGTATACACGAAGTGGACTGTCTTTATCTTTATCTTTATCGGTCTGTACACTTACACAGTTCTCAATGCTTCGTTTTGCATGTAGGGACCCTCATTATGTTCCTGTGTTCGTGTGGGGCTATTTTGAGCCTTGTTAGTGGTATAAACTAGCGATTTCTTTTTACTTATTATATGCCCCCATTACTAGCGTTATACGCTAAACAGTTTTTAGAGATTACTAGCGTTATAAGCTAAACAGTTTTTAGAGATAAAACTCTTTACATTCGATTATCATGAAAACAAATCTCAGATAACGGTTGACTAGGTACCAATGTTTTATTAGACCACTGTACTGTACATATGAAATTAAAAACGTTTTCATTATGATATTATTAATTTTACTTTAGTAAAAAGATCTGAGTTATTCCTCCACTGGTAGAGATTAGAGGAATTAAGACTAAAAATAGAAGATAATAAGGTTTTGTCAGTGACACTTTTGATATTTATTGGTACAAGTTATGTTTTATATAATGTGACTAAATTAAAATACAAAGTCGTTAGTGAAGATTATGCAACAGTATTTAGAATAATATAACATGCAATGCAAACTAGTTTGGTTACAGCTCAAATGTATCATTCTCATTCTATCATTCACCCTGCCTCCATTACATATCTTTGTCACACAAGTGTTTGATCACCTCATTTGAGTAGGGTTGGGTACCGAAACTCGGTGCCAATAGGGAACCGGTTCCGACGTAAACGGTAGTAACCGGACCGAATAAGAACGACAATTTCGGTGCCTGACTTAATTAGGCACATGCGCGCGTGCGCACACACACACACGCACAGTCTCTTCTGTCTCGCATGCGCGCTGCCGCGCTCTTGCTCGCAAGGTTTGTTTGGCTGCATTTCACGTGTAAAGTTACGCGTCAGAACGCCCTCTGGGTGTGCCGATAGTCTGAATCCCATATAGAATCAAGCCAATACATTGGCTAATGGCGCGGGCGCCGCCTCGACGCACTTACGTCTTCATATTATGTTGGCGCGCGCGCCATCTGCTCCTCAGATTTCTCTGCCGAAAAAGGAAGCTGGTCGGCAGCGCGAGGAGCTTGGCAGCGTCTCGTTCCCTATTGAGAGAACATAGGTTACACCAGTAACCAGAGATGTTCTCTTTCATAGGTTCACTTAACGCTGCGTAGCTAAGAAGCAGTGGATTTGTAGGCTGCTGTATCACGTGCCGTTTGAACTGACGCGCTACAGCGATCTGTCACATTTCTAAGAGCCAAAACGTTATTTATTGTGTGAATCTCGTAAAAATATTGACAGAATCTGACAGTTGTGGATTTGTTCCATATCAAAAGTAACCTTCTCTGTCTTGTCTGTCGGTGTCCTCTTTGTCCGCGATTTTTCTCTGCGTGAGAAAATGGATGTGTGGCGTGAGATCGTGAGTCTCACGGTCAATGCGTGAGAGTTGGCAGCTCTGCCTGCAAGTAATCTCTATTAATCTCCAGTATTATTACATTGTTTGATACAATATTGTTTTATTTGATATTATGTAAATGTGTAAAATGTAGCCTAATGTAAAAAAAAATATTTTATATTGGTTTTATTATTACCGTATGTTACTTGTATTTATATTGTTTAAAGATTTAAGTTAATATTGTGTCCAGTTTGGCCCTGTAAATAAAAGGGTATTATTTTTTGATAAAGTGTGTGCGGTTTCGTTTTCTTAAGTACCGTTTCAAGAACCGTTTAAGCACTGGAACCGTTTAAAAAATACCGAGTAGGTACTGGTATCGGATAAAACCCAACCGATACCCAACCCTACATTTGAGTGGTCATTGCAAAAAAAAATTTTTTATACTGTGTATTCTATATACAGTACCCATCAAAAGTTTGTACACACCAATAGGAAAGTGTCCAAACTTTTGACTGGTACTGTACTATAATACACATATACATAATATTGCTACTGTATTGTAATATACACATAAATAATATCGGCCGATATCGGTATCTGTCTTTTTTTATCGGTATCGGCCCCTAAAAATCCATATCGGTCGGTCTCTAGTTAATAACCTGAATCACAGACCCCATCCACACTACTGCGTTTTAGTTTAGAAAGGGAGAATTAAAACGAATACGATCTCAGTCCAAACCAGCGTTTTAGCTGCATATTAGAATTGATCTCGGGCCACATTAAAACGACTGAAAACGTGGATCACGTGACCATTCACCAACACTGGGCATGCGCGTGGCGGTGTAAACCTAGAGACTTTCAAACATAGACTGTAAAAAAAATGCTTTCAAACATCAAAATGTAATTTATTATGTATTTGTGTAAATAAATGCTATGCTATTTAAAAAGCTAAATTGCAATGAACCATGACGGGTAGCCCTCTGTGCGCACACACTCGAAATTAGTATTGGTACCGTTCAGATATTTCAGTATCGATATTTTTGACAACACTAGTTATACCACATCTGTATGTGAAGGGTTAAGACAACACATTTTTCTTCCAGTTAAATGTATTTTTAATTGTTTGTCCTCATAGGAAGAGGAGTGTTTACTACCCAGCCTGTGGAAGCCGGAGCTTTTGTTTTGGAGTACAGGGGTGAACTCATTTCAGCAGAAGAATGCCGGGCAAGAGACTACACTGAGTTACAGAGCACATTTCTGTTTGAATTTGAGTGGCAGAAGCGTCACTGGTGGTGAGCATGGAAACACGCATGTTTTGTAGAGATGTTGAAAATTCTAATGAAGACATGTAACACACATTATTGAGTAGCTGATGAATGAACAACAGCAGGACCAATCTTTTAATCGCACATGGCTGGTGAACCGCAGCAGTTAATTCCAATGATAAGTCTTGAAGTCCCCCTGCTGTCAATCATTTTATGGGTGGTGAAATTTGGTATTGTAGTTCAACAACTAAAGGGTGGGTTTCTTATTTATTTTAGTATTGATGCATCCAAAGAAGACCGCTCCCTTGGAAGATTGATTAATGACAATCACAAATCTCCAAACTGCACCATGAAAAAAATCGTAGTAAACGACAGGCCACATTTGTGTCTATTTGCTGTGAAGAAAATTGAAATAGGAAGTGAAATCGAATACAACTATGGTGATTCACAATGGCCATGGCGTAAAAAGGTGAGTTGGTTATATTAGCTATACTGATTTTAATTATTTTTTTTTAAGTGCTGAATAGCACAGCTACATCTGTTTTCTACAATATGTATTTCATTATAAATCGTATATTAACCTGATTATCTATGCATAGCTATGTGATCTCATATGCATGATCTGTTTCTTAGAACTTTTTGTATGATTTCCAGGGGCCAAAGCAGCAGACTTCTGTTCTAGAGACCAAAACATCCCTAACAGATCACTCTTCCCATGATGACTCCAACAAAGATGCTGTCGTCACACAGGTAAAGGAGTAACGTCGACTCTGTCATCACAATCTATTCTAGACTTGCCCTCATGCTGCATGTCAAGCGCTCACACACACACATTTCTAGTCTAGGCCTTATGGGGCCCACACACACATTTCTAGTCTAGGCTTTATGGGGCCCTCCCCTCAAACGAATGAATTCACAGTTAAGCTCAAACACACACACATTTCTAGCCTAGGCCTTATGGGGCCCACACACACACACACATTTCTAGTCTAGGCTTTATGGGGCCCTCACGTATGGATCTCACTCTTAGGGATTTTACATCATTGGTACAACACCTGTCAATATTTAAAGTAGTGTAATTGCAGGTGTAATTCAACACTTCTCAAGCTGCTGCATGTTCAGAATGAGTATTTTGGATGTAATGCATTGCAACATCTTATTTGTTGCTGTTACCTCTAGAAAAGATGAGTGTATGCTCTTATATTTCAGCTGTGCTAGATGAGAAACTGTTTTCACATGAGCTAACTTTTGTTAACTTTGGTTTCTGTTGTTTTTTGTCTGATTTCCAGGAGCCAAAGCAGCAGACTTCTGTTCTAGAGACCAAAACATCCCTAACAGATCACTCTTCCCATGATGACTCCAACAAAGATGCTGTCGTCACACAGGTAAAGGAGTAACGTCGACTCTGTCATCACAATCTATTCTAGACTTGCCCTCATGCTGCATGTCAAGCGCTCACACACACACATTTCTACTCTAGGCCTTATGGGGCCCACACACACATTTCTAGTCTAGGCTTTATGGGGCCCTCCCCTCAAACGAATGAATTCACAGTTAAGCTCAAACACACACACATTTCTAGCCTAGGCCTTATGGGGCCCACACACACACACATTTCTAGTCTAGGCTTTATGGGGCCCTCACGTATGGATCTCACTCTTAGGGATTTTACATCATTGGTACAACACCTGTCAATATTTAAAGTAGTGTAATTGCAGGTGTAATTCAACACTTCTCAAGCTGCTGCATATTCAGAATGAGTATTTTGGATGTAATGCATTGCAACATCTTATTTGTTGCTGTGACACTTGCTGTTACCTCTAGAAAAGATGAGTGTATGCTCTTATATTTCAGCTGTGCTAGATGAGAAACTGTTTTCACATGAGCTAACTTTTGTTAACTTTGGTTTCTGTTGTTTTTTGTCTGATTTCCAGGAGCCAAAGCAGCAGACTTCTGTTCTAGAGACCAAAACATCCCTAACAGATCACTCTTCCCATGATGACTCCAACAAAGATGCTGTCGTCACACAGGTAAAGGGAGTAACGTCGACTCTGTCATCACAATCTATTCTAGTCTCGCCCTCGTTGCGCATGTCAAGCGCTCACACACACACATTTCTAGTCTAGGCCTTATGGGGCCCACACACACATTTCTAGTCTTGGCTTTATGGGGCCCTCCCCTCAAACGAATGAATTCACAGTTAAGCTCAAACACACACACATTTCTAGCCTAGGCCTTATGGGGCCCACACACACACACATTTCTAGTCTAGGCTTTATGGGGCCCTCACGTATGGATCTCACTCTTAGGGATTTTACATCATTGGTACAACACCTGTCAATATTTAAAGTAGTGTAATTGCAGGTGTAATTCAACACTTCTCAAGCTGCTGCATGTTCAGAATGAGTATTTTGGATGTAATGCATTGCAACATCTTATTTGTTGCTGTTACCTCTAGAAAAGATGAGTGTATGCTCTTATATTTCAGCTGTGCTAGATGAGAAACTGTTTTCACATGAGCTAACTTTTGTTAACTTTGGTTTCTGTTGTTTTTTTGTCTGATTTCCAGGAGCCAAAGCAGCAGACTTCTGTTCTAGAGACCAAAACATCCCTAACAGATCACTCTTCCCATGATGACTCCAACAAAGATGCTGTCGTCACACAGGTAAAGGAGTAACGTCGACTCTGTCATCACAATCTATTCTAGACTTGCCCTCATGCTGCATGTCAAGCGCTCACACACACACATTTCTAGTCTAGGCCTTATGGGGCCCACACACACATTTCTAGTCTTGGCTTTATGGGGCCCTCCCCTCAAACGAATGAATTCACAGTTAAGCTCAAACACACACACATTTCTAGCCTAGGCCTTATGGGGCCCACACACACACACATTTCTAGTCTAGGCTTTATGGGGCCCTCACGTATGGATCTCACTCTTAGGGATTTTACATCATTGGTACAACACCTGTCAATATTTAAAGTAGTGTAATTGCAGGTGTAATTCAACACTTCTCAAGCTGCTGCATGTTCAGAATGAGTATTTTGGATGTAATGCATTGCAACATCTTATTTGTTGCTGTTACCTCTAGAAAAGATGAGTGTATGCTCTTATATTTCAGCTGTGCTAGATGAGAAACTGTTTTCACATGAGCTAACTTTTGTTAACTTTGGTTTCTGTTGTTTTTTTGTCTGATTTCCAGGAGCCAAAGCAGCAGACTTCTGTTCTAGAGACCAAAACATCCCTAACAGATCACTCTTCCCATGATGACTCCAACAAAGATGCTGTCGTCACACAGGTAAAGGAGTAACGTCGACTCTGTCATCACAATCTATTCTAGACTTGCCCTCATGCTGCATGTCAAGCGCTCACACACACACATTTCTAGTCTAGGCCTTATGGGGCCCACACACACATTTCTAGTCTAGGCTTTATGGGGCCCTCCCCTCAAACGAATGAATTCACAGTTAAGCTCAAACACACACACATTTCTAGCCTAGGCCTTATGGGGCCCACACACACACACACATTTCTAGTCTAGGCTTTATGGGGCCCTCACGTATGGATCTCACTCTTAGGGATTTTACATCATTGGTACAACACCTGTCAATATTTAAAGTAGTGTAATTGCAGGTGTAATTCAACACTTCTCAAGCTGCTGCATGTTCAGAATGAGTATTTTGGATGTAATGCATTGCAACATCTTATTTGTTGCTGTTACCTCTAGAAAAGATGAGTGTATGCTCTTATATTTCAGCTGTGCTAGATGAGAAACTGTTTTCACATGAGCTAACTTTTGTTAACTTTGGTTTCTGTTGTTTTTTGTCTGATTTCCAGGAGCCAAAGCAGCAGACTTCTGTTCTAGAGACCAAAACATCCCTAACAGATCACTCTTCCCATGATGACTCCAACAAAGATGCTGTCGTCACACAGGTAAAGGAGTAACGTCGACTCTGTCATCACAATCTATTCTAGTCTCGCCCTCGTTGCGCATGTCAAGCGCTCACACACACACATTTCTAGTCTAGGCCTTATGGGGCCCACACACACATTTCTAGTCTTGGCTTTATGGGGCCCTCCCCTCAAACGAATGAATTCACAGTTAAGCTCAAACACACACACATTTCTAGCCTAGGCCTTATGGGGCCCACACACACACACATTTCTAGTCTAGGCTTTATGGGGCCCTCACGTATGGATCTCACTCTTAGGGATTTTACATCATTGGTACAACACCTGTCAATATTTAAAGTAGTGTAATTGCAGGTGTAATTCAACACTTCTCAAGCTGCTGCATGTTCAGAATGAGTATTTTGGATGTAATGCATTGCAACATCTTATTTGTTGCTGTTACCTCTAGAAAAGATGAGTGTATGTTTTTTTGTCTGATTTCCAGGAGCCAAAGCAGCAGACTTCTGTTCTAGAGACCAAAACATCCCTAACAGATCACTCTTCCCATGATGACTCCAACAAAGATGCTGTCGTCACACAGGTAAAGGAGTAACGTCGACTCTGTCATCACAATCTATTCTAGTCTCGCCCTCGTTGCGCATGTCAAGTGCTCACACACACACATTTCTAGTCTAGGCTTTATGGGGCCCACACACACATTTCTAGCCTAGGCTTTATGGGGCCCACACACACATTTCTAGTCTAGGCTTTATGGGGCCCTCCCCTCAAACGAATGAATTCAGTTAAGCTCAAACACACACATTTCTAGTCTAGGCCTTATGGGGCCCACACACACACACATTTCTAGTCTTGGCTTTATGGGGCCCTCACACACACACATTTCTAGTCTTGGCTTTATGGGGGGCTCCCCTCAAATGCTCGCTCCAATGTCAACCTAGATACACCTAGATGTACCATACCTAGATATTAGGGGTGGAACGGTTCATGTATTCGTATCGAACCGAAACGGTACGGGCGTCACGGTTCGGTGCACGAATTTACACGGAGAATACACGGTATAAAAATAAATAAAACTCGCGTGCAAATTAATTAATGTAATGTGGAACTACTGTTAGATACGCGGGTTCTTTAGGGACATATAATCTGTACCATCGGCTTAGCTCTGAATGCGCGTTCACTTCAAACGTTGGCTACGCGCGTCCTATTCGCTTTGGACTAGCGTCGAACTAGACGCGAATTTGAAGCTCTATTCGCGTTTGGTGTGACCGTGACCGCATAATGAACAGGCTGCGATGTCAAGATTGCAATGCTGGAGTGTGTGTGTGTGCGAGAGAGAGAGAGGCCTACAACCTAACTATAACCTACAACTGTCACCCAACCAAAATCACATACACACTGTTTTAAAAGCAAAACATATTTATCCAACTCCATTTCAAAACAGTCTGTCTTTTGGACATTCATCATATTGCATTGGTTTCCATTTCTTCTCCTCGGAGCACTAATCTTACACATTCTACATTGATTAAAAAAGAAAATCGAATGTGTTTTTAATGGTAGTATTATTTTATACAGAAATCAATTATTTATAATTCAGATGAGAATAATGTTACATTGCCAATTAATAATGTTAATTAAAATTAAGGAAAACAAATATATTGATCTGAAATATAGCAAAATAATTTTAAATGAATAGTACAATTACCAAACATATCGCAAGGTCTTTTTGTCTTTTTATTAATTTAATTAATAAACTAATTATATAAAACTATTGTCAGTGCACTACAAATAAACTGGTTCTATGCCTTTATTAATAAAACTTATTTAAAAAATACAATGCCTTCTGCATTTTTGTTTTGCTTTTTCCCTCCATTGTACCGAAATCGTACCGAACCGTGATGTCTGAACCGAGGTATGAACCGAACCGTGACTTCTGTGTACCGTTCCACCCCTACTAGATATGTTTTCTATTATTAGTAGCGTGTCCACATGTTTGTGCTAATATTAACTCTTAATGTGTATTTATTTTGTTTAATTATATTTAGGTATTTACCATCAAAGGGTTTTCCCTAGTGAACTATCCCGAAAGTGATGAGACGGATGAGTATATTAAAGACAACCCTCCAACTCCACACTGTGATGTTGTTCGAAAGAAGACGAGGAATGGAAACATTCAGGTATGCTTCAGATACTGTACTTTAAAATGCTGCTGTTTCTATAAATGGTTCAAACGTACTTCCCCGTGACTAATTTTAATAGAATGTAAGCCAAAATGTATTACATCTTGAAATTGAAACTCCTTTTTTGCAGGTGGTTGGAGTAGCTGATTTTTCTGATCCTCTGATTGACTCAAATGAGAGTATAATAGATGAAACTGATGAGGATTCTAGTCTGCAGTCAGACAATGAAGTTGTTCCAAAAAATATTTTGGAATGTCTCTGACACTCTGGGCACATTTCTACCAAAATATTTCCCCTGTATTAGATTTCCATAGAATGTGAACAAAAATGCATAATCATACATGACATAATTCCCTTTTTGCAGATGGATAGAGTACCAGATTTTTCTGTTCCTCTTAATGAGTCAAGTGATGACAGCATGGATGAGCCTTCCACTTCTATGTCTGAAATGGCTTCACAAAGGCCGAGGAGAAACTGTCACCGCCCTGTAAGCCTAATTTTTTCATACATTATATCACTTAATGGTTAGTGCTAACTAACGCAGTGTGGGCGGCGTCAGATGTTTAACGACATACCGCTGATCATGTACTTCAAAACAATTTTACCCCCAAGCGAAATACAAGAACTTCGCCGTGAGTATATCGGGGCCTTTACTCTCCTCACGTAATAAGGGAAAACTTTGTTCATATTGGAACTCGATCTAACAGCTTTGTGTAACGATAAAGGTAAACATTAATAAAATACATTTTTTAAAAATATTTTTATAGCCTGTGATGCGACTAGAGAGGAGTCAAATGCACATCTCCAGAAACTTGAGCCTTAAATAGTTTATAGTCAAACTATAGTACTAGTAACTTTAGTTATTTCACTCATTTACCTGATGCTAGGGATGCTCCGATCCGATATTCGTATCGGGTATCGGGTCCGATACTGCCATTTTTGCCGGATGGGGTATCGGTCAGACGAGGCCGATCCAAATCCGATATTGTGCGTATAGCCTACTATTCTGTGTTATTGTTAAGCCCCACAAAAGGCACAAAAACATTATAAAGCACCATAAAGTTTTCGTGTACTATATTACAAGTGTTCTTAAGCCATTATAGTATAATGTGAGATAGAAATGAACATTTAAGTCATTAAATTCAAAATCACGTAAACTTTTCCCTCCGCTGCGGCTGTCATTCATTCTCCATTCAGCATTCAAACAGCGCGTCGCCTTCGGTTACGAGTCAGTCAACATGATGAAACCCTCTCCAAGATGATTCAATGTTACTCTTATTATACTTGATCTGTAGATAAAGCTCTATGGTTTCGCATAAAACAACTTTATCTTGCTAGACTTTATTGCTGTAACTTAATCCTGTTACTTTCTACCGGCCGGGTGTCTGTTAGATCACAACACTGGAGTCAGCTGCACTATAATTGTTCTTCACACGCACAGTAACTAAAATTTAAAACTGTTAAAAGAAAAAGTTTAATAAACTATTGCATAGATAGATACTGTATAATACACTATGCGATATGTCTTTCGTTTGTGCTTTGAACTTTTCAATGCGGACTCGACGCGCGATTCCGTGTTGCTTCAAGCGCATCATTCTGCGCTCGGGATGCGCATAAGCGCTTTGTGCCGCACTGTATTGCAGCCTTTCATAATCATAATACAGTGACGCAATGAAAGATTATTAATAGCCTTTCTTGTTCTATCTATCATATGTTGCTGCCTCATTAAACAGCAGTGCTATACATTTAAAACATGTCTCAATTTTATAGTAGCCTATAGCTATAAAATAATTTATCTTTTTGATTTTTATCTTGTTTTTCATGAATGTATTTTACAACAATACAAAGAGCAATGTGTAACGTTTTACCAGATTTAGTGTTACATTTATTGTCTCTTATTTGTTTTTTTCACTAAATGTTCAGATTTTATACAATTATTGTCGACTCGTGATTTTTCTAGACTAAATTTTATTGCTGAATTATCCACTAATCTAGTTTATAATAGCATTTTTGTCATAGATTATGATCATATATTTTTTGAATTAGTTTTTCTTTATAATGAAGTTGTCTGTATTAAGTAGATTGTGTTTAACACACAAAAGAGTGCTTATCAGAGTTCAACACACAAAGAGTTACATAAATTCTACTTGATTTAAAAAAAACTGTGTTGGTATCGGATCGGCATCAGTATCGATCGATACTTTGAATTTTTGGTATCGGATCGGTTCTGAAAAAAGTGGTATCGGAGCATCCCTACCTGATGCCAGTCAATTGTTTCTCCAAATAATATTGATAGGGGTGTGCCCTTTTATGCTTTTCTCTATATTCTCTTGTTTTTAGGCTCTTGGTCTAATCGTTATCAACAGTACGTTTCTAATTTCATTTACTTGGATTAAACTTAATCTACATTTTACTTAACGCCCCTATAGAATGTATGTCATCCCAATATGCAATGGTCAGTTTATCATACTAAAGGATTAAAATGTAAGAATTCTCAAATTACTCTATCCCATTCCAGATGTGCATGACCTTTATTGCTCACATGAGTAGTTTAAGAAAATAAACTTTTAGATATTGAGACATGGAATGGAAGCCGATGGTAACCAACATTTTCAAGACTTGATTAATGATAATCCATGTCGATACAATTGAAAGAAAGCGCTCTGTTTTATAAATCCATGTTAAAGACGTTTCTTACAGTAGTCCATAACTGCTGATCAAAACGAGTTGTGTATTTATTTCAGTCATGTTATGAAAGGTCACTGAACAATAGTCATGCATATCTGGGATGAAGGTGAGCTAATTTTTTTTTTGTCTTTTTTGGGGGGACTAATCCTTTTTAACTTTTTTTTTTTTGAAAGATTCAAAGGAGTCTTGTAGAATCCGATGACTCATGTTGCGATAGTGAAGATGAGTATATTCCAAATCCCAGGGAGGAAAGCAATGACAGTGACTGCAGCTTGGAGTTATCCCTGGAAAATAAAAGGAAGAATGTCAAAATGTCATCCATTAGTCAGTGCAGAAACAAGTCTTCAAGTCAGAGCCGATTTAAGTCCAGTCAGAACAAAAGTGAGTCTTCAAGTCAGAGTCGATTTAAGTCCAGTCAGAGCAGAAGATTTGAAACAAGTCATGACTCGGTACAAAGATTTCCTGATAGCCTAGAAGGAAAACACAAGGAGACGAGTGTTTCAATGACACCTGAAGAAGAGCCATCGATCTTTGTTAATCCAGTTTTAAAGAAGGAGGATGGTTCCAGAAGATATAATAAAAAACATCACTGCTTGTATTGTGGACAGGTAGTTCAGAAAATGTCAAGACACTTGTCGCGTAGACACAGCGATGTGGTTGAGGTCGCAAAGGCATTAAGCTTGCCAAAGAATTCAAAAGAAAGGCGACGACAGTTGGATTTTATCCGAAACAAGGGTAACTTTGAACACAACACTCAAGTTTTGGAGAGTCGCAAAGGCAAACTCATCCCATGGAAGCAGCCAAAGAAAATGACAGATGGACAAGAATTCATGCACTGTGTTTATTGCTATGGAATGTTCCGAAAAAGAGTGATGTGGCGTCATTTTCAGGTCTGTAATTTCAAGCCTCAGGGTAAGACATCTAAACGAGGTAAAACAAGAGTTCAAGCTTTGTGTGCATTTGCTGAACCTGCTCCAATTGGATTTAGCGACGCGTACTGGAAGTTCTTAAGTGGTATGAATCAGGATGAGGTTGCAGTTGCTATTAAGGAAGACCGCTGCATTCTTGAGTATGGTTACAGACAGTTCAGAAAGAATGAGTATGTAATAAGCCAGCACCAATATATTCGACAAAAACTGAGAGAGCTTGGCAGACTGTTACTGGAAGCAAAAAAGTTGACACATGTGAAGACAATCAAAGAACTCATAAAGCCTGAAAAGTACACCCATGTTGTCTCGGCTGCAAGATGCCTTGCTGGATTCAATGGTGAAACTGGCAAATATAAACGTCCGTCTCTTGCTCGCAAAGTTGGACATGGCTTGCATGCTTTAGCCATGTTTATCAAATCTGAAGGATTGAAGATGAAAGATACACAGACTACCAAAGATGCTGAGGAATTTGCACTGCTATACCAAGAAAGTTGGAAATTTGACATTGCAAGCCAAGCGCTAACTCAGCTTAACCAGACAAAGTGGAATTCTCCTCAGATTCTACCATTCACACAAGATGTCCACAGACTTCATTTCTATTTGTCTGAGAAACAGCAGAAGCAATTGAATGCCCTGCAAGAAGAGCCTTCTCCCTTGAACTGGAAGGACCTTGCTAAAGTGACCCTGGCGCAAGTTATCCTCTTCAACCGACGAAGAGCAGGAGAAGTATCCCGAATGTCCTTGTCGGCGTTCCTGTCAAAGGATACATCAGAGACACACGAAGATGTTAACCTAGCCCTTACAGCACTTGAGCAGAAGCTTTGCAAACATTTTGTTCGGATTGCCATAGTAGGAAAGAGAGGAAGGAAAGTCCCTGTTCTCCTGACCCCGGTCATGAGAGAATCGCTCGATACTCTGACTGAAAAGCGAGAAGAATGTGGAGTACTGAGTGAAAACGGATACTTGTTTGCATTGCCTCTCTCTGTCCATTATTTGAGGGGTTCCGATTGCATTAGGCAGTTTGTGAACGAATGTGATGACATCAAACACCCCAAAGCACTAACCTCAACAAAACTTAGGAAACACATTGCTACTCTGTCGACTGTTCTGAATCTCAAGACTACAGAACTTGACCAATTGGCAGATTTCCTTGGGCATAACATTGAGGTCCACAGAAAGCACTACCGCCTTCCAGAGGGCACCCTCCAGCTTGCTAAAATAAGCAAAGTTCTTCTAGCGCTGGAACAGGGACGGCTAGGAGAATACAAGGGGAAGAATCTGGATGAAATTCAGCTTGATGTGACTGGTATTAAGTCTTTTTTTATTATTAAAGGGATACTCCACCGTTTTTTCATATTAAACTGTTATTCCCTTAACTAAGACGAGTTGATACATACCTCTTTCATCTCAGTGCGTGCACTTAATCGCTCTGGCGCGCCATGACACTTTGATAGCACTTAGCTTAGCCCAGTATATTCAATGGTATCTAACAGCAATGAATTTAGAAGTGACCAAACACATCAATGTTTTCCCTATTTAAAAAGTTACACGAGTAGTTATACTACTTGTGTAACTGTCACTAGCACTTATCACTAGCACACCTACGTCGCGTCTGAACGTGACAAGTTTAATTCGTTTGAAGTACTTGTATTAAATGTTACGCTCTCAGATATAAGAAAAAAATCCCTATTATCTCTAGCCAGGGCCTTGCGCTGATTTCCTAAAAGAGTTTGCAGATTTTCTCTCAGATCTATTGGTCAACGTCGATAAAGCATTAATTGTTGGAGATTTTAACATACACGTAGATAATTCAAATGATGTGTTAGGGGCTGCGTTTACAGATTTATTAAACTCCTTTGGGGTCAAGCAAGTGTCTTGGTTAAGGGAATAACATAGTTTAATATGAAAAAACGGTGAAGTATCCCTTTAAGGAAAGTTAAAAAGCACAGCATTGTCCATCTATAAATCGTTCTCTTTTAGAATAGCAGATAGTATTTGATAAGTAAAAGAATAGAATTGATTATAACAGAGTTGAAGTATTTGACCTCAACATACTGAAGAAGAGGGCAGGTTTTATTGTTATAATGTGACTAACTTGATAATTTTTGTCTATTCAGCTATTTATGTAGCCATTTTGTATACTCTTGACAGATTGATTGCAGTTTCAGGTTTACAGCTCATTCATATTGTATTACTTGCTGTTTTAGAGACTGTTGACATGGATGGGTGTTCACAAGAGGAAGGTATGTTTGTATGATTTAAAAAAAATTGGTTATGAAAGATCTCTCATTTAAATTAGACAATTAAATGTAGATGTTATTGCACAATCATTACAGGATTGCACATATTTGGATGTTGCATTAATATAACCTTTCAGTTTAAATTAATAGTTGACATGTTTTTGACATGCTGCCTGTTGCATGTGGGTAATGTTTGACATTGTTTCCAGTTGATTGTGTGGCACAGTAAGCTACACCACAGGTATAGTTATCCAAAGGTAGTTGATCTCCACAAGAATTGTGTCCTTTAGCAAGATGATTCATCCCATTGCTCCAGGGCTATTGCCACTGTAATGTGTTCTGTAAGTTGCTTTGGGGAGAAAGTATCTGCCAAGGGCATACATTTAAATTGTGCTCCCAGTGTGAATGCAAGTCTAATTTAAACCGGCTCTCTCTACCACTGTATTGTAGAATTATGGAAACCATGTGTAATTTGTTGTTCAACTCGATTTGTTTATGTATAGCGCTTTTCACAATACATATCTGCAAGACTCGTGCCATATACTGAATATTTATAAACTTGTACTGTTGATCATTGCTTTTTATGTCACCATGACACAAATTTTATGCATAATTGATCCTTAGTTTATATTTTGATTTGTATTTTTCCTCAAACTTTTTTTTGCACTCAGATGACTTTATTCCAGACGTACAGGAGCCTGAAGTTGAGGACAGTGTGGCATCCACACAAGAACCTACATCCACACAAGAACCTACATCCACACAAGAACCTACATCCACACAAGAACCTACATCCACACAAGAACCTACATCCACACAAGAACCTACTTCCACGCTGCATTCCCAATACCAGAGAAAGTCGGCAAAAAAGAGAGGTGAGCTTAGAAATGTTAAGTGGATTGATTTGTCCCGTTCGTCTTGAAGACAGAAAGCTTTATTCTGAATTATATTATTTTATCAAATCTTTACTTTTGATCACTGCACATTGATAGCTGTCACAATAGGTTTTGTTTACACAGTCTAATATTCTGATTATAGTTGATTTACAACCTCAAACCTGAATGAGTTTGTTTCTTCTGCTGAACACAGAAGACATTTTAAAGAATCTGGGTAACCAGACAGTTGATGTCACCAATGACTTCTATAGTATTTTTTTTCCTACTATGAACGTCATTGGTGCCGTCAACTCTCTGGTTACCCACATTCTTTAAAATGTTCAGCAGAAGAAAGAAACTCATACAGGGTTGGAACAACATTATGGTGAGTAAATGATGACAGAATTTTGGGGTTAAACATTTTCATTATATGATCAAAAGAAAAATTGAACTCTATAACGATTTGCTTGGATTTAATCAAAAGTGTGGGATGCACAAAGGGAAGATTTTGCGTTTACACAAGTTTTAATATATTCATCTGCATATCATTTCCATATGCATATTCCCATTGATGTGAGACTGCTGTGTTTAACAGGACAATACATAAAATATGAGATAGAGACTGTAAAAATCGAGTATCTTTGCCTTGTTTTTAAAATAAAAATGTCCGTACAACAAAGTATATTTGCCAAAATTGTATAAAATACTTTTAAGTAGACGGTCTACTAATGCTGTAATGAGAGTTAGTTGACATGTAGGTGCAATGTTACTCCGTTAACAGAATGTCTAAAGGGGACCATCAAAATAAAGTGCTACCACACCTTTTACTGGATTGCACTGATTTATTATTATTAGTCAAATGTTTTATTCAGAAACAAACTAAGAGTACTTTTAGCCTCTGAACCAAGTCAATATGGCAATGAATGACCTGTGTGATCAATACAATAGTCTTTCAGTTCAGATTAAGGTTTAAAAATCCTGAACTTAAGACATTAACCTAAACTTAATAACATGTTCTTTTTATGTTTACTTAGGTAAAGAAACTGCTGTCAAAAGAAGCTGGACAACAGATGAATGTGCGGCAGTAGAAAGACACCTAAGGAAATTCATTGTGAGGAGCCAAGTTCCAGGGAAAAAGGACTGTCAGCGCTGCGTTGATGCAGAAGCTCAAGCGTTAGGAAATCGAGACTGGAAGGCGGTCAAATACTTCATCAAAAATCGTATTTCTGCCATAAGAAGGAAAGTACAGTGAAATACAGGTAGCTCAACGTATTGGATGCCTTCCCACTAGCATTTATATCGGGATATACATTTTAAGTGTTTTCAACAGTTTACATTTAGTTGTTTTCATTGTATTATCCTCTTAAAGGGTTAGTTGTCATTTACTCTTTTTTTGTCATTTCAAACACATAAGAAATTAGTTCATCTTTGGAACATAAAATATGTTTTGAATGAAACCTGAGAGATTTCTGTTCCCTCCATTGTTTGCATTGCCTCTCTCTGTCCATTATTTGAGGGGTTCCGATTGCATTAGGCAGTTTGTGAATGAATGTGATGACATCAAACACCCCAAAGCACTAACCTCAACAAAACTTAGGAAACACATTGCTACTCTGTTCATCCTAAACTTTCAAGCTTCAGAGCATTTATAACGTAGAAGTAATCCATGTGGTTTAATCCCTGTTTTATAATGTGAATGCGCTCTCACTTAATCCACCCACTTAACATTATCCAACAATTGCAATAACTGTGAACTGGACTTTGCATTGATGCAGCACACACAATTATACACATTTTCTGGTTAATAGTGATTCTTTGCCTCGTATGCCCTTTTCCTTGTTTGTTATATATTGCTCTGCCCTGTTTTTGTGCTATTGTTGATCTCACTTAATCAATCTATTATTCATATTCTCCACCAATGCAATAACTGTGAACTGGACTTTGCATCGCTGCAGCGCACACAATTATTCTCATTTTTCCTGGTTACTAATAATTCTTCGCCTCGTATGCGATTTTCTTGTTTGTTATTTGTCACATTGATAACTTTTTCTTTATGAATGTTTTGAAGTTTGAAAGTTTAGGGTGAACGGTTTTTAAATGGAAAGATGGAAATCTCTCAGGTTTCATTCAAATATCTTCAGTTGTGTTCTGAAGATGAACAAGTTTCTTATGGGTTTAGAATGCCTTGATGGTGGGTGAATGAAGGCAGAATGCTCATTTTTGGGGGAACTAACCCTTTAAAGTTCTTTGTTGTCTTATACTATAACATATAAAAGGGTTAGATCCAGTCAATTGTCTTAAGTGTTTTATAGCAACAACAAAAAAAGACTGTTGGATTGTGTTTCCTTGAGTTGCTTATAGCATGTTTATTGCTGTAACATTTATTTTGGTCAATGTTATTAAAATGTTGTATAACCTCTTTTTGAAAAAAAATAAACATTGTGTAATACCAAATATATGTTCATTGAGGACGAATCATGTTTTAAAGTTGTTGTTTTTTAATCCAGTGTTTTGTGTAAAATATTACTCACTGTATTAGTGCTATAATTCCACTGGGTCTTAATCTTTATTCATCAGATGAATAGGGAGTTTTCATGTGAAGTCCTCAATTTAAATGAGTATATTATCTTTAAGCTGCAGTGAACATGACTGGCTAGGAACACAACTTCATTAGAAATAGTGGACAAGTAACCATGGGACAAACAAGATCCCCTTCAGCAAAACCGCACAGTTCATTCAATAACCAATACAATGCAGAGAAAGTACAGTTGGTGTCCTGCAGACTGAAGAAGTTCAGGCTGTGACCAAAATTTGAGGGCTCATTGATTTAGAAAAGTCTCTGGATTGGCTTTTGGCTTATGCCATGTTAATGGCTAAGCTAATATAGACGTGTGCAGATTAATTTAGAGGATATACATTATAATCTATAAAGGTTTATATGGTAATCAAGGGCAAATAATGGAAGTAGTTGATGTTTTACAGATAGTGACTTTGGTCCTTGCTAAGATATAAAGATGAGAAATGTGTGTGTATCTATGAAAGCGGACCCCACAACTCCTAAATGTTTAATCCAGGCCCCACAAGTGACACAAAAACGCATGTGCAAACAATTTTGTTTGAATTTTGTTATATTGAAGTGATATTTCTTATTAGGAAATTTTTGTTATCTTGCTTGATTTTTTATAAGTCTGTAGAACCACTGGAAATGGTGGACCCCACAATTAGGCAAAAAACGGTGGACCCCCTTATGGTAGGAAAACAAGTATGTGTGTGTGTGTGTGTGTGTGTGTGTGTTTGTGTGTGTGTTTGTGTGTGTGTGTGTGTGTGTGTGTGTGTGTGTGTGTGTGTGTGTGTGTGTGTGTGTGTGTGTGTGTGTGTGTGTGTGTGTGTGTGTGTGTGTGTGTGCAAATGGTAACATATTAAAATGCAGCTATAGGCTTGTAAGGTCAGCATGAGGTCAAAGGTTCAGTATGCTGCTAGTAGTAACCTCTGCTTTCTCATCCCACGTCCTGAAGCAAGATATAACTAGATTAAAGCACATCTCTGAAAGATCAATCTGGATAACAACATCTGTCAAAGTTGTGTTCTTCTGTAGATTAGGAGGTGTTCCCTATCTCAAAGACCATCACAAATCCCCCCTCCAGTCATAGAATGCACCCCCGTTCCCTACAGGTTGCTCTCGGCCAGATTCCCCTCTTCCTTAGATTCGGTGAATTATTTATTTTTGGGAAAGAAGACGTTGCGCTCCACGTGATGTTGAGCCTCCTGAGTCTATTTCATGCTTTGCAGGAAGCAAGGAGCCAACTGGACATTTAACCACTCAGTCGCTTATTAAAAAGAGGACAGCGTAAGAGCTTTGCATAAATTATAGAGAGAAGTAAATGCACAAATGGGGTTGATTTTTTTCCCACAGATTGGCTAATTATACCCTTTAAGAAAATGGGTAATCCTGGTCCGATCCAGTCTGACTGTCTCTGGCTAGATTGCGAAGGATATCTTCATCCTTCCTTTCCTGCATCCATTGGTCTCTTTTTTTATCCTTCCTTCATTTTACCCCTCAGCAAACCCCGTTTTTTTCTCTCCTCCTAAGTAACTTTAATTGTCCTGGGAAAGTCATGGTTGGCCCCAGGGCACAAAGCTCTGCATGCTTTCTAATGAATGTTTCAGCGGGGGGATTATGAGCAGCCATTGGCAGCCATGAGGTAAGAAGTTGTGACAGAAAGGGCATGATTCTTCTTTCTGATTTGAGTGAAATGGTAGAGCGCAATATGAAACCATCAAGATCAATGGTTCTAACTTTTATGTTTGGTCAATACTTTCATTCAGATTTATAGATTATCTCCCTTAAAGTAGGATTTTTTACCTTCAAATAATGTTTCCAAAATCGTTTCAGTGGTTCATCAAGTCGTGACATGGTGAAATGCAATTATGCAACATGTGACGCTTTGTACATTTCGTCGAAATCTTACGCACATGGCATCCTTTAGCATCAATATGAGACGCAGAACCCAATGCGTCATACAGGTGACGCTCGTCTAAATCCGACGCACATGGCATCGTTTAGCGTGAATATGAGACGCAGAACCCAAGGCGTCATAACCGTACCCTACCCCAGACCAAAACCTACCCATAACAGTGCGTGTTATATTGACGCTAAAGGATGCCATGTGCGTAAGATTTCGACGAAATGTCATACGGCGTCACCTATATGACGCCAAAGGATGAGAATGCGTTGGGTATATCCACGCTATGTAAGATTGCCGAGCCCGTTCTCATCCTTTGGCGTCATATAGGTGACGCCATATGACATTTCGTTGAAATACTACGCACATGGCACCCTTTAGCGTGAATATAACACGCAGAACCCAAGGCGTCATACACATTACTGGCATCCTTTAGCGTCAATATGAGACGCAGACCCTACCCCAGACCTAAACCTACCCATAACAGTGCGTGTTATATTCACGCTAAAGGGTGCCATGTGCGTAGTATTTCAACGAAATGTCATATGGCGTCACCTATATGACGCCAAAGGATGAGAATGTGTTGGAGCGCCAGATCGGGTCGCGTTCTGTAGTTGTAATGAGGACAATTCGGCTTCAAACCTGTAGGGCGACCGCAGAGGAAAAGTTCCTTGGTGTTGCTTTAAGGTTTTTTTTTTTTTTTTTTTTTTTTTGGAAATCAAATCTATAACCTTTGCATTGCTAGCACTTGATAGCAATATCTTATTTATTATATATGCAGCAAGGACAAATAAAATTGATCAAAAGCGATGATTTCTTTTTCAAATAAATTTTAAATAAACTTTCTATTCATCAAACCACCCTAAAAATAAGTATAACGGTTTCCAAAAAAAAAAAAAAAAAAACCATTAGTTTTCAACATTGATAATAATAAGAAAAGTTTCTTCGACATTAAATCAGCATATTAGAATGATTTCATGTGACACTGAATCATGTGACACTAAAGACTGAAGTAATGCTGCTAAAATTTCATCTTTGCCATCACAAGAATAAATGATTCATTTAAATATTTTCTTTAGAGAACTGTTCTTTTAAATTGTAATATTTCACAATATTACTGTTTTTATTTTTTATCTGCATTGATAAAAAAAATAAAACCAGTAATATTGTGAAATATTGGTGATCATAAGAGACTTATTTTACAAATGTTCACGTCTTTTATAAACTCTTTAAACTCTTTCACACTGTACCTTTCGCTTTTAGATAATTGAGGAGGCATGTCTGGCAACTGATCCCGATCAGATGTGATTTGCATAAAAAACTTTTACAGTGTTTCTCAACACAATCACATGTCAGCTAAACACAACATTTACAGTATGTGTGTTCTCTGTCTATGTATTTGCAATGTGTGTGTGCATGTGTGTGAGTGTTCAGTGCCTTCGAGGGATACTGGAGGGATCAGATGAGGCTTGAGTTCAGGTTGGCTCATGTCTGGAAGAAAGTGGAGACTGGAAAGAAAGTAAGACAGTGAGAGAGCAGAAGGAATGGTGAGCACAAGGAGAAGTGTTCTTCAGCAGCGAGTCGGATCAGAGCAGAGATCAGCCATGAGCAAAAGCTCCATTGCTCTCTGAATCCTGTTCTGTGCTGGGGTCCAGACAGCCTGCAGGGCCCCCCACGCAGACAAGCAGGAGTGTGTGTGTGTGTGTGTGTGTGTGTGTGTGTGTGTGTGTGTGTGTGTGTGTGTGTGTGTGTGTGTGTGTGTGTGTGTGTGTGTGTGTGTGTGTGTGTGTGTGTGTGTGTGTGTGTGTGTGTGTGTGTGTGTGTGTGTGTGTAAGAGAAGGATGGAAAGGGAAAGGAAGAAATTAGGTGCACAGCCAAGCAGCATGCAACAATGTGTGTGGGTAGTACTTTAAGCGTGCGTGTGTGTGTGTGTGTGCGTGCGTGCGTGCGTGTGTGTGTGTGTGTGTGTGTGTGATGTGGTTAAATTGTCTTCAAGTTGCCAATGTAAGTGACTAACATCTGTGATGTGCATACAGGAATCTTTTTTTTTCTTTGCTTGTAGTTCGTTCATTCGTTCCTTTAATTACTTCTGTTTATTTTTTCTTTCTTTCTTTCCTTCCTTATTTCCTTCTTTGTTCATATGTTCTTTTGTTTGTTCATTCATTCGGTCACTTTGTCAATTGGTTTCCTTTATGTGTTAGCTTGTTCAGTCCATCCTTCTTTTCTGTATTTCTTCTTTCTGTGTTTCTTTCATTCTGTCTTTCTAGCATTCATTCATTCGATCATGTGTTCATTCTTTGATTCCCTTTCTTTTGTTCCATTTTTCATACCTACCTTCTGTCTGTTTCCCTTTTTCATTCATTCCATTCTTTTTCTTTCTTTACATCTGTTTCTTTGTTTGTTTATTATTTTTCATTAATTTGTTTGTTTGTTTCTTTGTTTGTTTGTTTGTTTCTTTCTTTCTTTCTTTCTTTCTTTCTTTCTTTCTTTCTTTCTTTCTTTCTTTCTTTCTTTCTTTCTTTCTTTCTTTCTTTCTTTCTTTCTTTCTTTCTTTCTTTCTTCCTTCATCTTCTGTCCGCCTGTCCAATGCTTGCTTCTTTACTTTTCCTTCCTTCCTTCCTTCCTTCCTTCCTTCCTTCCTTCCTTCCTTCCTTCCTTCCTTCCTTCCTTCCTTCCTTCCTTCCTTCCTTCCTTCCTTCCTTCCTTTATGACATTCATCCATCCATCATCCATCCATCCATCCATCCATTCATTCATTCATTCATTCATTCGTTCATCCATCCATCCATCCATCCATCCATTCATTCATCCATTCATTCATCCATTCATTCATTCAGTGTTCAGTAGTTTATTGCACTTTTTCTTTGATTCCTTTAATTGTTCATTTGTTCTTTCCTTCTGTCTGTATTCTTCATTCCTTCTCTTTTTTTCTTTCTTTACATGTTTCTTTGTTTGTTAGTTAATTTCTTCGTCAATTCGTTCCTGCCTTCTTTCTAAATTTCTTTCTTTCTTCTTTCTTTCCTTCTTTCTTCCTTCTTCTGTCTGCTTGTCCAATGCTTTTACCTCCTTCCGTCATTCTTTCCTTCCTTCCTTCTTTTCTATATGACATTCATTCTTTTATTCGGTCATGTTCATTTACTTTTTCCTTGATCCCTTTAATTGTTTATTTGTTCCACTTTTCACACCTTCTATTTGTTTTTCTTTTTTCATTCCTTAATTTTTTTTCTTTCTTTGCGACTGTTTATTATTTGTCCATTCATTCGTTCCTTGCCTTCCTCCTGTTCTTTCTTTTTTTCTCTTTCTTTCATCTTCTGTCAGCCTCTCCATAGCTTCATTTCTTTCTGTCTGATTGTCCTTCCTTCCTTGCTTACTTCATTCTTTCTTTCTCATCGTTTTTTCTATCCCTCATTTCTTTCACATTTTGTTAGTGGGTTTGACAGTGAAAAGAGAACGAGGAGAGTATCGATCCTCCCTAGCAGCGGAGGCAACCGTATAGCCCCTGGAGGAGACTGAAGGGCAGAGAGAGCTTGACCCAGAGTCTCCTCAGCTCTCCAAGTATTCACCTGCACTCAGATGCAGCCCTCGGCACTATCAAGACAACCTCACTTCCCCACACTCATCTTCCTCCAGACTCATTAGTGTAGTTTAATAGAGAGCACAATTACTCAATTCTTAATTCTACAATTTAAGGCTATAGGGACAGTGTGAACCAATTAAATATTTATACTGTAAAATTAAATTACAGTAAATGATCATTTTGGAGAATATAGAGGTCTCTGGGATCTCTGTTCTATTCAATATAGCACAGATATATAGTCCCCCCACTTAGAACGTTTGATCTCTCAAATATGTCAGAAATGTTTCCATACTCCCCTATGATGGCAGCAGCATCAGGGTGAACCTAATCCTATAAGATATGGAATTGAATTGAAAAGCCCAAGGAGGTGAAAAGCTGCTTTCTGTAAAGAGGGAAAGGACACACTGATTGGAGGGGAGCTTGTCCTGTGGAGAGCAGGGGATGCCAGATTGTGGAGAAGAGCCTCGCAACAGAGATTCTGTTATATAAAGTGTACTGATGATTGAAAAGGTTTGGGTGTGGGGCTTATGTCACGGCTGTCAAGTCCATGTAATGTTGACAGGCCGGGGCCTTTTTACCTCTTTCCCCCCTCCTCCTCCCCCCACCCCATGCTTGACAGCGCAGCGTGCAGAGTGTGGGAAAGGGCGGCCCAGGCACGCGCCAGATAAGATCACACAACAAACTGCCGGGGCCTCTCCAGGGAGTGCCGCGCATGCTTTCAGAGGCAAACAGGCTCCCGCTGGCACGTAGAGAGCCCCACCCCCCCCCCCCCCCCCCCCCAGGGCCTGGACATACACACGCACATACACTGGCTCGCTGTTGTAGGGGCCCTTGAGAAGAGGGCCGAGTATGTCATCTCTCATTTCCCGTCCACTAACCCTCCATTTCCCCCCTTCTCAGTGTGAGTCATTTTGGTTAGCAAGTCCAAGCATTTTTCATTCACTGTTTATCTTTGAATGGTTCTTTTGACTGTTACTGTGTTGTTTTGTTTGTTGCCATCCGTGGACCTCTCATTCGACTTCCTGTCCTGATCTATTCAAATTGGTTTCCTTTTCTTCTTGTGCTCTTCTTCTGTTTTTTCCCCCAAGACTTCAGGAATCGTTTCACTGAAGAAGAAAAAAAAACGAGAGAAAAAAACTCATGCCTGTGGTAAGTAAAGACATTTTTATTGCTTACCTGCTACATACTTGGCATCTGTATACTCTTCACAGAGATTGTTAATTTTTCCATATAGGCGTAGTGATTTTTAACAATAACTTGACCTTTAAAAACCATCTGGAGCTCCAGTTTGTTAATATGCTTATGTTGAATATACGTATCAATATATTATTTCCTGTCAATTTTATGAAAACCATTTTTAACCCACAATTCGTTGTGAAAAACTACAATACCCATGATCCTGCAGAGAAATATCCATCCAATCAGAGAAATGCGGCAGACACATTTCCCATGAAACACTGTGATTGCCATTTTCAAGTATTTGTACATTTGTAAAAATTATATGATCAATAAGTTCTGGGAACATATATTTTTACATTGCTTTAACTCTTAAAAATAGATTGAGCAATTAAATAGTTATACAAAATTCAACTCATTTTTTAAGTCGGTTTAATGTAATTTAAGTTGAAATGACTTAAACTTAAAAATTTAAGGCAGCAACTGTTTTTTTTACAGTGCTGATTATTTTGCAATAAACTATTGTTTCTATATTTATAACAAGCAACTTTCAATAAATAGTTTTATATTTTCCATTGTTTTCAATTAAATTACGCAGTTTACAATGCTTATGACTGTGGTACTTTCACTCATTAAAGATGCCAAGTTCATTTGTTTTGTTTTGTCTAATTTAAAAATACTTTTTACTTCAAAATAAAGATTGTAATGTTGTTATTCACCTCAAGGATGGTTGGTTTGGTTCTTGTCTTAGATCACTCTATAAAAAATACATTGGGTGTAAAAGGTGAGGATATATAAATAAACATGTATTCCATTCAATACTGAAAAGTATTGCAATTGAAACAAACATTTATGTGTGCTATGTACAGTATTTTATCTGTTAGCTTAGCAACATGCTAATGTCCAACTGTATTGAAATGTGGAGTGGAGTCTTCTGTGCAAAATGTGAAGTTGCTGCCAATGTAGAGTGTTTTTAATTTGGACAGTTATGAGGTTCTATGATGGTTGAGATGCCTTTGTATAAAATCAGCAGTGAAGCAGCTCACTAGGTTTTGGAAGATTCAAGGATTCACTGTTATAGTATGATGTGTAAACTTGACGGGGGAAGAAATCAATCCATCTGCCCGTCGTATTCTTCCATCTCTTCTCATCCACAGTCTCACAACTCATATATTTTCACCCTTTCTATCAAGCTATGTGTTGTGTTACGCTGCCTCACCATCCTCCTCAACACACGAGCAACACAGTTACTATTACATTTTACTAAGCCATTTTGTCTTATTTATGTAATTCATATTTATGCAGATTGTAAATGCTATGTTTTTAGGCATCCGTTTGAGAAGCAGCCATAAAATGTGCGTGTTGGTGAACGTTTCCCTGGTGTCTCTTTGTGAATGTCTAAATACTCCTCCAAAACAGAATTAGGAGGCAGAGGTCAAGAGAGATACTCTTATCCCAGAGCTACACACTATCTTTCTCCCTCTCTTTTTCACACAGACAAGGAGCTCACTCATACAAAGGGAGTTTGAGAAGCTATTCTCCCAGGTACTTTCTCCTTATGGCAAACACTGCACACCCACACACACGCCTACTTGCGAAGAGACACACAGGCCAAAATAAAGATCAACACACAGACTGACAGGCACATACAAGGAGTTACGTATTATCGAATGTGAAAGCTTATTCAGGGCACACACAATTTGAGCATTCACACGCTTGATTCTTGCCGGCATGTCAGAATAGATTTCCTTCCCTTTAACTAAATATTTACATAGGTTTGGACAGGGGTCAGATTGGTGAAAACAAAATAGACAGTTTTTTCCCTTGGAAGACAGCTGCCCACATAGTAGGATCTTTAAGGCATTTGTATGCTTGTATAGATATTAAAGGTATCACTCAAAAAGGACAATTCTGACATTATTTACGCACCCTCATGACCTACACTGAATGGACAAACATATCTTCTTCTGTGTTCCATAGAAGAAAGAAATTCATAAAAATTTGGAATGGCATGGGGTTGAGTACATGATAACAGAATTTACATTTTTTTTGGGTGTCCCTTTAAATATTGATTTGTGGGATTTTGAGCTTGAATTTTAGGTAACAAAGACTTCCATAGTATGGACAAGAACAGTTGAAACATTCATTAAAAATATCTTCTTTTGTGTTTCACAGAAGCAAAAAACGGCATATGAGTTTGCAACAACATGAGGGTAAATAATGAAAGATTTTTCATTTTTTGGTGAACTACCCTTTAAGACAAAAACAACATGTTAGGTACAAATAGTAAAATAATTTAATTAACTAACAAAAAAAATACAATAACTTAGACCAAAAACTGCGGACTCCTCACCAACTGTCACAGTGAGGCTTGGTTTGAGAAACGTGGGGTCAGTGGAAGGTCTGCTCTAATGGGTGATCCTGTGCAGGGTAATTGGGGCCCTGCAGATCAAACGGGAACCTTCATTAGCAGAACTCAAGGGGCCACTAATCCAACATGTTCACACACACCGGGAGAACAGAACGGATGGGGTTGATGAGGGTGTAAGTGTGCAAAGGGGGTGCACTGCCTGGCGCCCGCCTCGGCGAGCAAAACATCTCACCCATAGATCAAAGACCCTCAACATCTCTGAGCCGTCCCGGGAGGAGGAAAAAAAAGGAGAAGAAAAGCAGAGAGAACTAGTACTTCTTGTGACTGGCACAAGGTAATCCACCTCGTGCTTATAGATGAGCCGGGGACTTATGGCTAGTAAATTCATACTCATTTTACTGTAATAGTACTGTAATGCTGAAGGTTTGTTTCCTTACTCATGCTCTTTGATCCTAAAGGAAGCAGAAACCAAAGTCGCAATGAAGAGGACTGGAGTGATGACAGGAGGTCTGACTCCAAAAGCGGCTCCTAATTATCCCAGAAGTTACTGTGTCAGAGGTAAGAGAGGGCTACAGCCCCTTCCTCCGTTTCCTGCCTTTGTTGCTGTTTTGGGGCACACGGAATTAGCACCAAGCTGATTTCCAGCCCTCTTTTACGTTTTTCTCCAAGGGCCGGGCTTGCCCGGTCATCTGGAGATGTTTTCAGCTTGACCCTGACCAAGGGGGGTTCAGGAGCCTCGCTTAATTGCCAATTTGTGATTCAGTTGAGTCCCATTGCAGATGGGCACTCAAGTAAGAAATGATTTGGCCTCCTTTCATCAGCTGCCCCACCCTGCCACCCGCCCCATTTTTTTTACTCCCTTCCTGCTCGGGTGTCTCTTTCCAGTTTCTCTTTTTCCTTCTCTTGTCGTCTCCTAACCCGTGTTTTAAATCAAAGCTAATGGGTGGTCTGTCGTCTGCGAAGGCAGTTTTTGGTTTCCCAAGCCCTGTGCCTTTCCGTGCTGAGATTCTAATTGCCAAGAGGGTGACCTCCTCGTTCCTTTAAAATCACACCATGCAGAACGTTTATTTAGGAGGCACAGGGGAGAGGAAGAGGCAGGGCCACGTGGCCTTGGCCGCCACTTCAAAGCCTGGTCGCAGAGAGGAGGAGGGAAGAGGCGATGTTCAATGATTGCTTGGGAGAAACCAAAAAAGCACAACAGTTGCATGACAAGATCAGCAATCCCGCTCCACCGCACACAAACGCCAAAAGCACATCATTTGTTTAGATTTATTGAAAATTCTGTCAGAAATGAGCAAGTGTTCTTAATGATAGTGCCAGACAGCCACCTGTTTCATGGACTTTCACAGTCACAGTGGAGTGAAGACCTTCTTGATGTTTATCCCAGATGAGTCTTACAGATGGAGAGGGGGAAACAGTACAGGATGTTGTACTCACTGGTCAATTGTCAAAAGTGGGCGTTGCGTGACTCATTTTTGTCTGGATATGAATATTTTTGTCTGGATATAAATTAAATGGTAAAATCTCAATATCTTAAAGCCAGGTCATGTTAAAAGTCCACTACCGTTTAAAAGTTTGGGGACTGGTTACTCCAGTCACATCATCCTTCAGAAATCATTCTAATATGATGATGTGTTGCTCAAAAATATTTCTTATTATTATCAATGTTGAAAACAGTTGTGCTGTTTAAATATTTTTTCTGGAAACCGATACATTATATACTGTTTTGAGGATCCTTTGATCAACAGAAAGTTCAAAAGGACAGCATTTATTTCAAATATAAATGTTTTGTAACATTATAACTGCGCCCTTTTGATTAGTTTATTGCAATTCTGCTGAATAAAAGTTTTAGGCCCTGTTTACACGAGAACGCTCGCGGGTGAAAACGTATAAATTAAATATTTTATTAGATGTGCCTTTCGTTTACACGGCGACGACGTTTTTGGGGCTTAAAAACGCAAAAAAGTGAAACCACCCTCCAGAGTGGAAATCTTAAAAACGCTCCACCGGCGCGTTCCGGTCTAAAGGGTAAAAACGCAAAAGTCTGCTAGACAGGGAAGGCACAGATCTGCTTCACAATGCCACTTAGCCGTCTGGAGTGCATACTACATCGAATTTCACACACTTTTGCGTCACCATATGCACGCAGATTTCCCACCCATAACGCTCGTCTAAACGCAGAATAAAAAGTGATAGCACATCGCCACTTTTGCGTTTTCTCTTCAGATCGTTTCCATGTAAACATAGCCTTAATTAAAATAGATTTTACTGACCCCAAACAGTTTTTTATTTATTTTTTACATATAGATAGGATTAGTCCTTTACAAAAAACAGTCATCTTAACTATGGTAACACTTTATTTTCTATAGTGTATTTGTTACACATGTTATATGTAGTTACTGTAGTAATAACCATACATTATGCATAATTACATGCAACTTACCCTAAACCCTAACCCTATAGTAAGTGTAACGTTCTGGTAGTAGTTGAAAGCACAAGACGGAGATGAGGGTTAAACACAGTCTTTACTGATCAAACTGAGGCAGGACAGACACAACCACGTTCAACATCAATGAGAACTGGCAAGGGACTGAACATAGCAGGGAGTATAAATACACACCATGAAATGAAGAAACTAACTATGGTGGAGGAAGATTAACTAATCAGGGACTAACAAGAACAGGTGCAGACAGAACATAATTGTGACAAGTAAGTACATGTTAATTATTATTACTCAGTACTTAAATGTGTCATTACACTGTAACACAGACACCTTCAAATAAAAATCTAGATAATGTCATTGTATATCTCATCTTCTTTCAGCCTATATACACGTTAATAGCATTACAATTGGCCTTGTCATTGTGCCATTGCTCCGAAAGTCAGAGGCATCATGTGACATGTATTGAATAATATCAATTCGTTTTCTGTTATGAACTATGAACAGACAGATAAAGATTGGTCGAAACATCATCCTGTTTGATTATAACTCCGTAAATAAACTTACTAACTTTTATCCACTTAGAGTGTTCATTTTTGGGCCATCACATGTTCATTTACTCAGTACAAAGGTTGAATACATGCCATTTTGTTGAGTGTCATTAGAAAGACATTTACTACATTTAAACACACTTCCTCTCAGTACAAATAAACAAGACAGCTATAGTTTCCCTCCTACACACCAGACAGACTCAATCCACTTCAGCAGGTCTAAAAATACGCACAGACACGCCTGCACACACTCGTACACTCACCCTGGACGAGAGAGTGTTAAGAGCACAACGTGGGTTACACACACACCCCTCCCTCTATATCTCCACACCGGTGCTAATGCCAAGGGCGGAACACCACCCCTTCAAACACACACACATAAATACACACACATACACACATGTACCCTTGCCACCCCCCTTCCCTCTCTCTTCTCCTCTCCTCCGCCAGGCTGTGCTTCTGACGCTCAGTACTGGCTCAGGCCCCACCGGCCACAGGCTGTGGAATGTGTGAGAGCCATGTGTCAAATCCCCAGACTGTGGGAAAGTGCTGCTCTCTGCTGAACTCTCCCCCTCTCCTCCCTCCCTCGCTCTCTCTCTCCACCGTTTTCTCCTCTGGCACTCTCCCGGCGACCGCCCTGCCCCACGTCGGCCGCACACAGGAAATGGAGGGGGCTGCCAAAAGCGCGTCGCCTGGAACTATGACTTCCGAAGAACGTTTTCACGCCAATAACCCCCCCACCCCTCCCCTTCCCTTCTTCTCTCTTCTCTCCCCTCTCCCACCCTCCTTCTCAGTCTTCTTGGTGGGGACATGAACTGGGCTTAAGGAGTAGAGCTGTGTTTCTTTATCGTTTTCTGTTGCAAGTGCATTCATGTATTGTACGCTTTTAAAAAAAAGGAACATCTTTTTAGCACCAGTATTTAAGTATTTATTTATTTATTTATTTATTTAATCACTTTAAAAAAAGTATTCTTCTTTTAACAACAGGTTTGTAGTTTGATTGATTGATTGATTGATTGATTGATTGATTGATTGATTGATTGATTGATTGATTGATTCATTCATTCATTCATTGATTCATTCATTCATTCATTCATTCATTCATTCATTCATTCATTCATTCATAGATAAAACTTTTTTATCAAGAGTATCTTGATCTTTCAGATTTGTTTATGTATTTGTTTGTTCATTCTTTCGTTCATAGTATGCTCACTTTTTAAAAAAGTAATCTTCTTCGAGCAACAAGGATCTTGGTTTATTATTTATTTGTTTATTTGTTTGTTTGTTTATTTGTTTATATACTTATTTATGTCCTGCAAGAGTATATTTTATATAAAAAAACTTTTGTAGTCTTTGAAGGGTGCTACATGTCATGAGATTGTGAATTCCTGTCACCTAAACAGACTGATTGACAGATTGATCTACATTGACAAGAGTGACAAGGCAGGCAGTAAAACACAAACAGAGTTGTTCAACAATTTGTTGACAGTAATTGAAAAAAAAATGACAATAACTTAAAACAATTAATAAAATTAGAATAAAATAATAATAATAAAAATGATCTTCTATAGCCACACATGGGCAGGATAGTGTCCGAGAACCGAGACTGTATATAAAATATAAATACTCTTTATAGATAGAAAGGATGATGAAATATGAAAGGTCTCGTTGTAGAAAGCTGGACAACATGTCACACATGTGAGTGCAGGTTATTGTTTTCCAGGTCACTTGTTCACAGAATCGCTGACAAACGCAGCAAATGAATGAGAAGAGTGTTTGCCTTTCCCTTATCTAGAAATCTTTCTAAAAATACCACTGTACACCTGCCACAGACCAGCCATACACTATGCCTTATGAACACACACACACACACACAGATTTAAAGCTAATGACATCAACAGCCGCTGTTCATGTGTAGGATGTTCTAATGATCCTCCCAGTAAGTGTGTGGGAGGGCAGAGGTCAAAAGGCGCCAACTGATCCTGCTGACTCGGTGACAAACAATAACAAGTGCAAGTGGCAGCACTCACTCAAAAATGCTGTTAACTACTATCTTGGACAGCTCACTCATGGCATTTCAATGTGCTTATGGTTTTCAAAGCCTATAGGCTCAGTTCTGAATGAACAGAGGTGCATGAGTCTTGTCAATTTTGGGGGGCAGCCATGACAGTGAAGTGTTCTGGAAAGCATCCACCTTCCTGTTTGGCAGTGTGGCATTTCAAAGGCTGCTGAATTGGCACAATAAGAATCAGTTCTCTGTGTAATGTTTGAACACAGTCACAGCAGTCCAACGTCAGTCACTGGACCTAGAGTTCTCACTGGTAACTCCAACACCACTCCCAACTGTGGGAAAAACTCGAAGACTATATCTACCTCTGTTTATTTTATGGGCCAGTGCCACCTGCCAGGTTTTTTCACAGGATTTTCAAAAGTTAGACATTCAATCTGTGCACTTTGTTTATTTGATCCGATTCCGGTAGATTTAAACAGGCAAGCTGAAATATAATGGATGGACTCAAACTTAAATGAGTAGGCACAGTTCATAAGCCACTGAATCGAAACTTACGGTCACACTTTAGTATAGGGTCCAATTCTCACTATT